CACAGACTCTGTGGGTACATCATCCGCACTGCGAAGGAGTGACGGACAGGAGTAGTCCTTCGTCAATAGCCTGCTCAGCCTGGCGGTGTCCTTTATACTCTCCAATGTCTCGCAGTGGCTCTCCCATGCTGCTTTTTTTGAGCGCCGAATCTCACTTTTATACTTTTTCATAATGTCTTGGTATGGCTTCCAAGATTTAGATTTGTAACAGGAGTTGAAAATTCTCCTAGTTTCTTTCCTTAGTCTAGATAAGTCACTATTCCACCAAGGTGGATATGGCTTCCTTGAATATCGTAGCGGGCAGGCCCTGTTCATTGAATTCCGAAGTGTGGTCTCGACGACTATAAGATTGGCCTCAATCTCGCTGATGGAGCTCACCAGTGGGCTAGGAGCCAAACTAAGCTTCTCGCGAGCCAGACGATCGAATTCAATCCAGTTAGTTTTCCTAGGGTTGCGATAGGATTTGATTATTTTTTTAATAATATTGACACTGAAAGTGATATACTTATGGTCAGAAAAAGAGCTCTCATCAGACACTTCCCAGTTGTCAACACAAACATTATTGTTTTCTAGTAACAATGTTATATCGAGGACTTCCTCCCACCCTTCGTAGTTTTCCGTACTCGGAAAGGTGAAAGTGGGAGTCGTCCCCCTATTGCATATAGATAGCTTAGTGCTAATGATAAAATCAAAGAGTGACTCACCCCTTTCGTTCGTTTCACCGCTTCCCCAGAGGCAATGTCTTGCGTTGGCGTCCCATCCAATCACAAGCGAAGCTTGTTGCTGTGTCGCTGCTGCTACCAGTTCCTCTACCTCCGCTGGAGGGGTTTCTCTGCCGTGTGCGAAGTAGGCGGACGCAACATACGTAGGCCCTCCGTGCTGCGACAGTCTTACAACTGCCAAGTCCTCGCTGCTGTAAGAGGGACAAAGAAACGCTTTATATTCTGTTTTTGCCAGGACGCAGGCTCTGGGCTTACCATTAGTGCAGGCATAAAAAACTTCGTACCCGGGGATGTTTAGGCCCATGACGGTCGAGTCTTGAATCCAGGGCTCTTGGATGAGTCCAAGGTCGTAGTCGTTCTCTCCTAGGAAGACTCTCAGGTTATCTGAAGCGCACCTAGAATGCTTCAGGTTAATCTGTACGACCTTGCTCATTTTTATTAGATGTTGGTAGTGTTCGGGCCGACCATATTACTGGCTTCCTCGGCCACCTCCATCTGCACCGTAACCTCGCTGCGAATAGGGTCTGGTGACGGTTCCCCGTCCTTTATTTACTCCGGGGGCGGTTCTTCGCCTTCGTTGTCGTCGTCGGGTTCTCTGCCCCGGAAGATTTTCACTTTGGCGTGTCTCACGCCGAAGTGGATTCTGCGGCCTAGCTCCTCTAGGACCTTTGCTGATTCCTCAGTGATGAGGAACAGCACGGGTTGGCTAACTGCTTTTACGTCCTCGAATTTCAGGACGCTCCAGTTAATCATAGGGACACGGGGGTTCATAATGGCGATGTATTGTAGAAGTTTAGCCCTATCCATCCTCATGTTGGGCAACCAGATTCGGGCACGGGGTCTCGTCGGAATGTCCTTCGCCGGGATAAGTTTGAGCCTTAAGCCCAACCAAGCATCGCTGATCTCAGTGATGCTCCTGCGCAGGAATTCCTTGGAGAACTCGTCCTCGCATCGGATCACCCTATGACCTCTAATGACCTCCTCAGAATCGAACCGTGGTATCGGGCCCTCGGGGTTGGCTAGGGTACTTTCCATCGCCAAACCCGAAAGCCGGACCTCGATCTCTGGCCTCTCGACTGGTTTGCCGCAGTTAGACGACTCGTCTATAAGTGCGACACTCAGGTGGTCCTTCACTATATCGCTGTACTTCAGCGGGCCTTGCGCTACGGGTTGGGATACGCCACTCGCATCTTTGCTTCTCTTCGGAGCGTTAGAGGTGTCGTCTCGCGATCGGTTGCGTTTGTTCGTCTTGCCCGCCTCCACGCGAGACTTTGCCGCTTTGCTACTATCAAAGGCGGCAACGATCGCCTCGTATTTTTTCCGGTCGTCAGTGTCGCGCACGTTCAGGATGCCCTCCTCCTGGTTCTGCGCAATCTTTTTCAGGATGAATTTAGCCTTCCTGTACGTCTTGGCATTTACCGATGTCGGTAGTGCAGACTTGGCCCTCGATGCCTGCGGTCTCGAGATACTGGAGGCGGAAGGTGTCGATTTGGAAGATATAGGAGTCGCCTTTCCTGATGGGCGCATGTTCATCTGACGACTCGCCAGAGAGGAGCATGAGGCCTCAGGTACGCGACCTGCATTCTTGCGTTGACTCGCAGTTGCCGATGATGATGGTGCATCAAAGTTCCCCGCTGTCGATCCCCCAGTGCGTTGGCTCGCACTGGTTTTGTGGGTTCGTGAGGGGCTGTGGTTGGGAGTACTATGGCTGGTACTGCCTGAGACCGACTCAGCCACCGTCTCCTGGCTGGAGCGAAGCAGAGCGTCCTCGTCGATTTGGGATTTGGGGGAGTAAACCTCCTCCCCCGGAAGGTCCGAGACTTCGGCGATTTTTGACAAAACTTTTTTCATAATCGTCCACTTTACTCTACAGAAGAGTGCGGTGGACTCGAGGTGTGGTGGGGCGAAAACGACCAGTCGACCAGGGTAGCGCCCCTTTTCCCTGGCAAGGCCACCGTTACTACCCGAGGCGGCCCGGTGTCGAGTAGGCTCCGTAAAAATACAGCCTAGAAAATTTACCCCCCCCGGCTGCAAACTAACCCAATAGGCACGGACCGCGTAACACCCTGGATTAGGGGGGATGAAAAGGATAGGGATCGGAAGGGGAAAACGATAGGTTGGGAAAAGGGAAAGGGTTTGTCGGTGCGGTGATCTCCGCATGGGAATCCGGGAGGATTCAGCTAGAATCGACCACAGGTTCCCATACGGAGCTTCCCTCTTAGTTCATGATGAGAAGGAAGTCCCGGTTAAGGACAACAATATCAACACTTAAGCCCCATCCCCACGCTAAGGAGACCAACACTGATGGGGTTCTTCTATATAGAGAAGTTCCTTTTTATATGGAAAAAAATGAGTGACTGTTAGCAAAAAAATTTTCAAAAATCAACGAGATTCTTCAGCAACTTGAAACCTGCAATTAATTATATTATTTATTATTTAAATAAATGAATTCATATAACCTTCAAACGTAATTTTTACATGTCTTTTAGCTGCGTTCGAATTAAAACAATTTATCTACACTATCGAGAATATCGACGGCAGCGCACTATCGGAAAAAATGACTATCGGCACAATCGATAGTGACCCAAAAAACTATCATCAACTATCGATGGTATCCACTACCTATAGTTTACCACCAATAGATACATAAGTTGTTGGCGTTCTCACTAGGGATGGGGGTTGAAACTCGATTTTTTCCGAGTTTCGAACATTGCCCAACCATTCGATTATTCGATTCGAAATTGGGTGGTGCAAATTCGATTTAATTCGAATTTTTTTCGAATTTTCAACAATTTTTTCCACTGCAATTTTAAAAGTTTGTTTGAGAGCATGATACCTCAAATCGAAAGAGATTCAATTGAACTTACATTAATATGATTAATTATCCGTATCGCTCTTCTTACTGCCGGTTTCACTAAAGCAATTTAAGTGAAAAATTATTATCTTTTCTGTCAGTTCCCATATTAAATTTAAATGAAAAAATCATTTTTCACTTAAATTGCTTTTTGAAACTGGCTTTTGCCTTCACAAAAAAAAAATAAATATCTTTTTCTCAAATATCATAAATATCTCAAAAATGCATCAGATAAAAATTTAAATATTTATCAAATATGTCATGTATTTTTTATATCAATTAAAATAAATAACAAATGTAAATGTATAGAAACTACGTTCTTGCTTTACAAAAACAAAGGAAATTCGCCCATATGTACATAGTTCTGTTATGTTTATACTTATACAACGAATAAAAACCTCTTACATTTAATGACATGATTTTGCTTTTTAAGGCGAGATCTTTAAGTAAACAAGGAACAAAATAATAGGTCTGTTCAGCAGTGACCATAAGATCATGTGCACATGGTATTGCATTTGCATATTTCGGCGCATTTGTAAATTAACAACGGTTACCATGGTGGCAAGTATATAATTTGCAAATGCAAATACAAAGCCAAGACCATTTTTACAATATCCCGAACAGTCCTATTATAGATTACACAGGTACATCATATGTATACATATATATAGCATTTATGTACTTTAATTTAATAAGTCTAAAATCACATTTTTTATTATATTTTTTATATACCCTTGAGGTCAGCTGTTTAAAATGTGTTAAGTGTTTGAAATGTGGGTTTATATGGTGCTGGTTATGTAATGTGCTAGACTTTTATAGAACAATTATAAACGTTTAACAACCAAAAGAAAAATAGCCAAAACTGGTCAAAATGTCATTTAACTTAAACAGCTGACCACAAGGTTGTATACATAGATAATTACATATTAAATTCGTGTTTCACACATTTCGCAAACATTATATTTTCAACCGTTTGCACAAGATTCAATAAAAAAATATACGCTTCATTTAAATCATTTTTCCTTAAAACAATGTATCAATATTTATACTGAGAAAAACAAGAATACATATCCAAAATTCGTTAAAGTTTGCATCACTTTTGAAGAATTCGGATCGAAATAGAACACTGGAAATAACTAAGTTGTACCACTTACATAGTTCTAAAAAATCAACAATTGAATAAAAAATAAATTTTGGATCTACAGTGACCATAAAAATTAGAGCACTTTAATATTTGGACATGTTTTGACTTCATTTTCTTTTGTTGGTTCAATGTTCATAAATTGTTTATAAAAAATTCCTCAACAAATATCATATATGCAAAAAAAATTTCAAACTTTTTCAATTTGTAGCTACTTCAAACTTGCATTTTATAATACCAAAATTGAACGGGCTAAAAAACTGCCAACCCAACTTCTTTTTTTATTTGGAAATTTTGTTGAATTTTACATATATAATATTTTAAAATTAAGTCAAAACATGTCCAAATATTAAAGTGCTATTATTTTTACGGCCACTGTAAGAGTGGTTGTACAGACCAAGACCAAGTCTTGCGCTAATAGCCTCATATGTCCCACATTTCTTCCTCAATTGACCGCAAAAATACTAACATATTTAAATGTTCGGGTGAGAGACGGTTCCTCAACTGGGTTGCTATAAGTCCAGCATGTGAAAATAGTCGCTCACATGGGACTGACATTGCCATAACTGACAAATATTTTTGGGCAATTGGAAAAAGCAAAGGAAAATCATTTTTCAACGCCTGCCAAGTTGTTAAAGGGTTTTTGTTTAATTTTCGAGAAACAGCTGGCCTGATTAAATAAGCTCGCAGCTGGTCCGAATTTATTTCCGAAACGTTACGTCTATTGCATTGACTGTTGCTAATGTTTTGATCTAAATATGACCATATGCCTTCTTCGTCCGATGTTTGAAGCTCAGCGATACTTTCCACAGATTCATTACTTTGGGTTTGGCTGGTTATTAATAAGTTACCTATTCAAAGTTTAAAAAACAGAAATAGTTGTTTCTGATAAATAGGTATTTGTCTAATGTACCAATAAAAGCAGCAGCCCGCGAACAGTAGATTGAGTTTTCGAAGGCTGCCTTCTTGTACCTTGGATCAAGTATTGTTGCCACACCGTAAATAATCACCGCCTCCAAATTTGCGTAACGTTTTTGGACCTCGGTCAACAGGACGTCTTTTGCTATTTTGCCTATTGCTGTAGTCGGTTCGATGATCATTGTTGCCTGTAAAATATAGATTTAGATTTATTTACAGCCAAATTCATTATTAATCATTTTGTTCATCTATTGGTTAATGTCTACAACGTCTACTACGTCATCTTAAAAGTACAAAATGACTCTAGAAACAATTTACTAATTATTTCTTTAACCTTTTTTAATCCTGCAACCAATGGAATGCACTTGCTTATGTTTACATTTTTTTTAACGCAGAGTTCACTTGTAATTTCATGCAAAGGCTTAAGAATATCCGTTACTTCTTTAAGAGCGTCCACTTCTTCAGCAGTGACCATATTAGGCGTGCGGGCCCTCGTGTTCTTATCCATTTGTAGCTGAAGAATTACTTGTGCAATACATGTAGACAATGTCATAAAACGTTCCAGCATTTCAAAATAAGAGTTCCACCTTGCTCTCACTTCTTGAATCAGCTTTAAGTTTGACTGACCGTTGCTTTTTTGGTAATCTCTCAACTTTTTCGCAGCCACCTCGCTCGTTCGAAAAAACTTTACTATTTTCTTTACCTTTTTTAAAAGATCCTTTAGCGTGCCTCCTTCCGTTTCGTTTTCATCATCGTCGATAGCATCGTCATTGTTATTTTGAATGATCGCTTGACCAATGTTATTGATAGTGTGACCAAAACAGGTGACGTGCTTCGACTCTCCAAATTCTTGTTTCACTGCGCCTTTGATATTGGATCCTCCGTCAGTGACAAATGGTATTATCTGATCATCGCTGATGCCCCAGTTATTAACTATTTCACGAAGTTTTTCCTTAAGGTTTGCTATGTCTTTTTTAAAATTAGCTGGAAAAGCCCCAAGCTCCACACAAACCATATCGTTTTCTGTTAAAATTTATAAAAAAAAAATACAATGGAGCGTATTCTTGTTTTCGTACGAATCGAAAATCTTGAAATGGAATTTTCAATAACGTGGATAGGGTTGGAAGCATAATTGACATACCTTTCATCTGATATGTATATCATATACATAATACATACATACTTCGAGAAAAACTAAAAAGACAAAATTATGACCATTTTTTAATAAAAATGTATGTTTTTCTAAAAAAATACGTAATTAACTGTAATAAAAGATATCTTTACCAGAAAGAGTATAAAAATACATTTAATTTGATATATAATTTTATTATTTTAGTTATTGAACATTTTTTATTACTAATCATATATCAAATTGAACGTATTTTTATACTCTTTCTGATAAAGATATCTTTTATTACAGTTAATTACGTATTTTTTTAGAAACACATACATTTTTACTAAAAAATGGTTATAATTTGGTCTTTTTAGTTATTCCCGAAGTATGTATGTATTATATATATGATATACATATCAGATTAAAGGTCTGTTAATTATCTTTCCAACCATATCCACGTTATTGAAAATTCCACTTTAACGCCTTTTAACACACTTTCACTTGCATCAACAATTTTTTATACATTCAGAATAAATGGATGAAGGCCGACCACAACCACTTTTTCTTTTTCTAGCTCAAAAATTATTTTTCGCAGATAAAAAGGAGGAACTAACCTTTAACGAAGTGTATAGTTACTCCAACATAACTTTGCATAGTCGAAGAGTTTGTCCATATGACCGATGTCAGTCATACAGATTTCGCCTGACTGAGTTCGTTTTTGACCTTTAATCGGATTGCACTATATTTTGTTTAAATTTTTGACGTCATTGTTTTTTCAGTAGGCACTTTATATATATGTAGGTTGCAACGTTTTGCAGAACTTTAAAAAACCCCTTTTTTCAGGTGTACAAAGTGGCATGTCGTCCACAACTATCATATACATTAACGCATTTGAAATTTCCTTCCCTTTGGTGCTGTTATCTAATATTACAATAATTACAGAACTTTAATAAATTTTAAAAGTTGAGATGTAAAATTTCTTTAATGCATACACACCAGAAAATGATACTGCTCTTTCAAAGGAATTTCGTATTGGGTAAACAGATTTAGACTTCTTTTGATTCGGCTAAAAAATTGTGTGAACAGAAAAGTATCAATATGTATTACAAATGAAACCCTAGGGAACTCATACCTCATTGTCATCATCGTTGTCCACAAGCTCAATGATGCCAGTTTTCTATAAATAAATGGAACAATTTTCGGTATTGAAATATATAAATTAAATTCCTTTAGCTCCATTTTAATTTTGTGTACTTTTTCTACGTGGTTTTTTAACGTGGTTGTGCTGCTGTGGTACTTAAAGCATTTCCCGCACTTTACGCAGATCGCAATTCCTTTTTCTTTTTTATCGTAGTACTGCCACACAATACTTGGGCTCATTGTTAGTAATAATGTATGAAAAATTCAGTAAGCAAACTCAAAGTGTATACGGCGCATAAAATTATCGACTCTGCTGTAAAAAACCAAACTTTTATAACGCTAATAGTATACATTTTCACAATATTCTTACCTGTGTAAAATAAACGCAAGCAAATTTGCAGAATTGAAATGGGGCAAGTTAGGGATGCACAAAAACATCCATGCACAAAAACATCGATACATTGTGTTTAAGCCGCCGCTTAAACTTAATTCAGCGGCCGTGCGGGCATCCTGTGGCCGCAGCAGTGTGAAGTCCGAAAAATGATTAACGAGCGCGCACGGCCGCTTCCCATCATCGGGCCAAATGAGAGACCAGTCAGTTCAGCCAAAAACGTCGGACATCGCGCACGCGCCCATTTAGCATTAGCATTTGATGATTCATACAAGAGTTAACTCTAAAAACGCTTTGTAAATTAACTTTAATTGTGGTGCACAAATAAACACAAAAATATTTGAATTTCTTATCGGAAACAAAAACCTTTCCTTTATGCGGAAACAAAGTGTACATTGTGTAAAGAGGTGAGTGCGAAAGGCGACCATTGGAAGTATTCACATTGGAAACATTGATGTTTGCTATTCGAATCATCGAATAAAACCATTGTATTTTCTCTTCAATATACATCGATATATTTCAATTTGACAGCTGATGCGAATGAATGTTCACCAAATATACATTTTGTATTAAATTATTGTATTGTATTCATTGTATTAATGTCTTTTAGATTATAAATATGATTTTGCAGCTTATAAGAATACCAAGAAACCGATTGACCGATTAGAAGAGTATTGCTGACAATTCAAAGACAATTAATTATCTTTACTTTTATATCATCAATAAATCTATTTCACCTTGAGTTTATACTTAAACATTTATCGAAGTTCCGATTTTCAATTTCCTTGTACATTTTTATTAATTCATTCAATGCATCGAAAATATCGATTTTCATATACGGTGCATGAATTTATTTTTATAAATGGGATTTGCAACTATTTAAATCAATAAACATATTTCACCTTGAGTTTATACTTAAACATTTATCGAAGTTCTGATTGTTCAATTTCCTTGCACATTTTTATTAATTCATTCAATGCATCGAAAATATCGATTTTCATAACCGGTGCATGAATTTATATTTATAAATGGGATTTGCAACTTTTAAATCAATAAACATATTTCACTTTGAGTTAATACTTAATAATTTATCTAACAGCCCTATTCCGCCACACTGACAAAACTCACCGCGATGACAATTGATATAAAAATGACAATTGCAGCTTTTTGGTATTCGCATCAAAATTCAAAAGCTCGAATCATGCCAATTGTCATTTTTATTGTCATGACCTTTTGGGCAGGTGACAAGGCAAAAACATATGTTTGTGTTGGTTTAAAAAGTGCGACGATTTAATAAATTTGTGAAAAAATATAAAAATCAACTAATTTCAATGGCAGAACAAATTTTAGTTATTTGCGCAACCGTGCTTGTGGAAGACGAGCAGCTCCGGATGCTCCCTACAAAACTTCACATAAAATTGCAGCTGCTCCTGCGTCGTCCGCTCATAGTTTGCACGTCTAAAATATTTATAAATGTTATAAATATACGAATTTATCTATTTCACACAAATACTCACTTTTCTGGTGTTTCACCGCTCATCTTTTTTGCAAATAATAGCGTTGACCAGCTGTTTCTACAACAATGAACTTTTCACCATGTCATTTTTTGTTAGGAATAGCAACGTGCAACGACAATGACAAAATCACGACAATGAAGGATGATCAATTGTCATTCTATTGCAAAACCGGAATAGGGCTGTAAGTCCGATTGTTCCATTTTCTTGTATGTTTTCAATTTATTCGATGCATCGAAAATATCGATTTTTATATACGATACATCGATGCATTAGAAAAAAGTCGATGTTTTTTTTTTACTTGCATCCCTAAGTCAAACGTGGCGCCATCTAGAGTGACGCCAAATTAACCGCCCTATTCCCACAACACTGACAAAATTCATCATATGACTATTGTCACAATTACTGCGCCTAAAACACAATATAAACATTGTTTCGCCGTTGTCACTTACTCAGTAGGTCATAACCAGGGAACGGATTTTTAGGACCTAAAAACCTATAAAAAAGACAAAATAAAGTAACGAAGTAGGCTGGAAAAGGCAAAATAAAATAGCGAAAAAGGCAGCAAAAGGCACTAGGTATTGGAAAAAAGGCAAAACAAAATAGCGAAAAAGGCAGGAAAAGGCAAGAAAAAGGTATTGCAGAAAAGGCAAAATAAGGCACTAAAAAAAGACAGAAAATACGAAGAACAATCAAAAAATATATTTATTTTAGAAATGTTTATATTAAAAGTAAAAAGAGAAAAACTATGAACTAGTTTCATTATATGAAAAATTTGTACTTTTAATCTTTAACTATTTTATCCTTTCGAGTTTCTAATTCATAAAACATTAATCTGTATAGTTGTAGTAACATTGAACCACAAGATGCATTTTGAAGTTTTCTGGCAGCATTTTCATTCGATTTTCGCGAAGAAAAGCCTTGAATGTACTAAATGTGCGCTCGACGTAAGTTGATACAAGTGGAGCCCAATTTAAATATGGAACGTTTGAAACGTTCATATTATCATATATACCGTTTTTAAAGGTAGAAAAGGCAAAAAGCGGCAAAATTCTTAAATAAGGCAAAAAAAGGCAAATATCTTAAAAAAGGCAAAAAAAGGCAACATCAAATGTGTATATATGGAATCAGGGAAAGCTAAATCGGGGACATTCTTAATCGAAAATACTCTATCTCTTTAGCAGAAAAAAAGGCAATTTCCATAAATTCCCTGGTCATAACAATAAAACTGACAATTGTCATAGGACAGCTTAAAACAAATTTGCGGCATAGTATTAGGCGCAGTAGTAAAGGCAATAGTCAGCCGCTGAGTTGTGTCAGTGGTGTGGGAATAGTCAAAAAGTCGCAGAGTTGCTTTTTTGCAAATAAAGACGAAATTCGATTTTTTTCTAGAAAAGTTCGATTTTATCCGAATTTTAGCACCTCAAAGTTCGATTTCAAAAATTCGCCATTTCGGAGCGAAAATTCGATTAAAATTCGAATCTCGAAGCTTCGAATATCGAATTTACCCATCCCTAGTTCTCACGGGTGGGCTTTAGATTGGTAACCCTAGAGTACAGCATTAAGGAATATATGGGAGGTAGAGGGGCGGGGTCTAATAGTTCCCTGTATGAAGTTTCAAAGCGCGCAACCTTATAGTTTTTAAGGGATTTGTTGTTAAAGTTTGCAATTTTAACAAACTTGTATGGCACTATTTTACAATATATAATGCACTTTTCACTAAATTTACACGTTATTTGCACTCAATATATGTGCAGTTAGAGTGTGTACGATCAAACAAATAAACACTTTTAATATATTACAGCTTTTTATGAAAAATTGATTGTTTAATTATGAGAGTACATGCAGAATATTTGCAAATGGCAGCAGGACTGTGTTGGCACATCTAAAAAAACCAAAGGTGGAAAGTAAGACCAAAAGAAAATACGATAAAAAGGAAAATAGATAAGGTGTTTTTGTTCAGATAAAAATAAATAGGGAGATTGGGGTCATATTCTCTCATAAAATACTGAAACACGTTTTTAAGGCTTGTATGTATATTTTATAGCGTCAATAAGTTTGACGAAAGGGAACTCTTGCTTACGAGCAATTGTTTTGCGCCACATATATTCTATAATTTTATGTATTTTATTTATAATTTTATATTTTATTATATACAAGACATTTTTATAAAACACCCAGTAACCATAATACACATCACACCACACACATACCACACAGAAAGGGAATTCTAGTTACCTCATCCTTTCTCAGAGCTACATCACTGGGGCGGTAGCGCCAGTTGGTGCACACCAAACGCAGATTTCTATTTGGTAAGGGTTATAATCCTAAAGCGCGGCCGAAGGCCGCCTACGCAGAAAGGAATTCTACGCAAAAATATAACCCCGATCCCCCTACTATTTATTTTTATTTGAATAAAAGAACCTTATCGTATTTTCCTTTTAATCGTATTTTCTTTTGGTCTTACTTTCCACCCTTGTTTTTTTTTAGATGTGGCAACACAGTCCTGATGCCATTTGCACATATTCTGCATGTACTCCTATAATAATTAAACAACAATAAATTTTTCATAAAGAGCTGTAGTATACTAAAAGTATTTATGTGGTTGATCATGCACACTAGGCTGGGTCGATTTTGTATGGGGGAAAATAAATGGCATTTGACCGTATTGTAATAGTAATATTATGATGTCTTAGGTCTAAGCCAATTGTTATTGGCCACGAAAGATTTATTTAAAACTTATCTTTAGCCCGCGCAATTGAATCAAAGTGTATGAATTTTGAAAATGAAACTTTGGCTTGTAATATCTATGGAATGCGTTAATTGGTATAAACAGGACGATATATCAAATTAAGGGTTATTAAATTTGGTACCTCACGTTCGTTTATCATTTTTTAATAAGTCTACAAGTTTTTAAGATATTAAGATAAAACTTACAAAAACTACAACTTTTCCTTATGAATTTTCAATTCTTCATTACTTCAGCAACCAAGTGAAAAATATAAAAAAGTGAGACGAGGTTTATTTCAAACGTTTTAATGTTTTCGGATGTTTATGTTTATTAAAGGAGCATTGACTTGGTTACGCCGATTTGGTCAGTTTTCAAGATTGTGGTTAATGAAGTCAAACATGTATTGTCAAAGATTAGGAATCGCTTGATAAGTTAATAGTAGTTTCAAGCATATAAGTAGCACATTTTTCACGGTTTCTAAATTTGCAGTTATATGATAGTAGGGGACGTGCAATAAGTGTTTAGATATACATAAATATTTTAGTTAATTTCATTATGCGAAAAAATGACTGCAGGTGAATGTAATAGCCTTTAACATATCCTGGGAAATCCTTTTGAGGACTCTCCAATTGGACGATATTGCTTTGCATTCAGCTTGAACGAAAAAAAGGTCACATCCTGGCACACTTTTCTGTAATTCGGTTCTATCATTTAAAAGTTATTTATACAATTCAAGAGAAATTTTTTCAGAAAAAAACAGGAGATCCACTTAATTTTTTCGATATAACTTTGGTGAATGTTACCCGATCGGTACGTAGTA